TTGGGTTCAGCGGCGATGTGTTCTTGTCATGGCCAGCATGTGGATTTCTAAATAGATCTCTGGCACGCTTTTGTTGTTCTAAGTCTGACTCCAGCTCCACAGCTCATCAAACAAACCCCCACAAAAACGTCCACTTAGGTCAATAAAGCTCTCGTTCATGAGAGACGGGCCTCCAGATATCGATGGTTTTGGAAAAGGGGCGTTTTACGAACGAGGAGGTAACTGATCATGGTATGGCAACAGTTCGACCTTGGAGATTCACTTAACGAAAGATTCGATTTGGTCCAAGGGAATGCCAGGTGATTTGTAGAACTGCCATATGCAGAAGCTTAGCAGCATAAATTCTTATTGACACAGCTCGCTGTCTATCACACAAAGAATCATAATGGCGGAAACAAGCCCTTTCAAAGCTTTAAGCCAACACGTTGGCCTTGAGCAAAAACGGAGGGAACTCTTCATGAGAATGAAACGAAATCTCACTACTACCACATTGACTTCTACTCTCGAGATGATTTATATCCGCCTCATCATCAACTTCCTTGACTGCTGGTTTCTTGACATGCACATTCTACGATAGAGAATTATAGGTCCTTGTAACGCAAAAATCAGGATACATCAGCAATTTATACCTCGCTGTGAGGTTATTATCTGTCCATTGATCTACCAGATTTACTGAACCCAAAACATATCAACCTGCAACGTCAAAGTTCAACTTGTAATGAGCCGTATCAAGGCCTTGACGATGACTGCTGCGTTTGCCTACAAATTGACAATAATTTTTAAATGCTGATCGTTTTTTGGTTCAAGACGTTCAAACTCTTAATCGTGTAATCTGAATATGTTCAAGTTGCTGAGTTTTGTCCCATGCCACAAGCTTCAGATTCTTGTATTTGTAGTTACATCTTGAGGCTTTGTAGTGAATTACGAGACAGGCAAAAAAAAACCCAAGGGGAGTAACTTGTCGAAGGCACTAGTGTACCACAGCCTCCTTGAATCTTTCTTCCACTCCAATATCTCCACAGATGGATGTTACACCTCTATTCCAACTATTGGTTGTACTTGCTCTCTCGGGGTCGGAGAGCCCAAAAAGTCGATGCCATGACTACATATTAGCGAAGAGCTTCCACGCATAACAGTCTTTGCAGCTGCAGCTTGGTCTCTCACTAACCTCCCGATACAGCAACTTCAATGAAGGAGAAATCGGGAACCAACAGCTTTTCCCACTGACATGATTGCCCAAGTCTCTCATGAATCAGGTAATTGAGATTCATGTTTTTTGCATTTCTCTGGGCCTCTTTGCCTCATTGTTGGAGAAGATCAAGTCGTTCAAAGAATCGATTGCGGTTGAGGACATGATTCCTTTGGAGTTTGTTTGGTACTCCACGATCAAGTGTCTATCTTTAGAACGTTTTTGAATCAAGGATTCGTTTAATCTGGCGAATCGTTTAGATTTAGAGAGATGTGACAAGCCTAACAACAAATGATTGGTTTTTGAGGTCCAGAATCGGAGAGAAGGATGCAGTGTATCGGAAATTCATAAGCCAAAAAGCGACGTTTCACATGAACATATCACCGTTCCATGGTGCAAACACTTTGACCACATTAATTCCTTCATATGGTACTGACCAGAAAAGAAACACCCCATTGTCCGATTGCAGAAAGGTCTGTAGTTATTGAAACAGGTCTTCGAATCTCGGTCTTGTATCTAAGGTAGGGTTGTCTCAAATCAACACGAAATCAACACTAGGACACTACTAGCAATGTTTCCAACAACTGCATGTCCTCCTATTTGGACCCTAGTACAAATTGAGTAGATTCAATTTATCGAACTGTTTCCGTGATGCTTAAATCAGAAAGCAAAAACGAAAGGTAATGTGTAATGGATCGGATCTCGAATGATCACATTGTCGAACGGCAGCAGCTGCGCGATAACGGTACAATAACCTGTTGCAGCGATTCCGGTAGTAGACGCGACTTGTTGTGCCAGCGATTTAGTCGTCAATCTGCACCTGCACCTTGCGAGATGCGTGCCATATTGGCTTTCAGGATTTCAAAACGCCATTACCGTGGTGCTAAATACAACAAAATTCACAAAAGTGATTGTGAGTAACAAATGTCCAAGACGAAACAAACCCGCTTGAAGAAAGAGAATAAACCTGATTTGCTAAGGATTTTAACTTTTATACCTTGCTACTAATGTATCTCAGAAGCATATGTATAGCAGATCCAACTGCTCGTTCAACTGCACCAAGACTGGATTCTGGACGAACAATCCATAATGACAAGTTTCCTGTGAGAATGCCAAAGGTTCGTGAAACTGACTTTTTTGGCCGCCAATAAGATTGATTCACTTCGAAATGAGAAGAGTCCGATCACTTTGAGGTATAATCGTTTCGATAGTCAATAAACTCTTGTCCAACTAAATGATTGACGCAAGGCAGTATCTAAAGCGAAAAAAGTCTGATATGTAAATTGTAATGATGAATTTCTAACAAATTCATGTTTAACGAGCATACCCTCAACCAGATCAAACGGGATCCTCACATTCTCAAAGTCGAGGTATCTTTTCATCGATTCGTTGCGCATTGACTTCCAATACTTCAGCTCATACATGACCACGTCGATGAATGCAACGAGGCTTGGAAGTTTTCAGGGCTTTCTGTGTCTAACAAAGATTTCAACACATCACGATCAAAGAAAGGGCATCGAAAATATTAGTAAGGCAAAATTGTTCGAGGCAAAGAGAAGAACCTGGTTGGCGTGAATGTCAAGCAACATTGACAGCATACCTCTAGTCAGCAACAATCTGTCCATACCTCAAGTCTTCAACATATCACCAACGCGAAACGATGGGTCGGTCAACCGACACCAACACATGCCTCAATACGCACACGACTCATCCGAGTGACATGGCACAAACTACCCAGACTATACCATAAGTTCAGCAGCAAATGCTCTTATCGATCCTGCTTGTTGACTATGACATACACGATCATAATGGCAGAAACACAGCACCTTCAGAAACGATGGCACCACCAAAAACCCTTCACAGAACGCGTCGATCACGACATGAACTCTTGCCACTACTTTCAACTTGCTTTCCAGTCCCGAGATGATTTCCATTCGACTCTTTGTCAAAGTCTTCGACTATTGGTTTCTCAACATTCTACGATAGACAAGTTTGAGTCCTTGTAACTATGAGTCCTTGTTACCACAAAAAAAATAAAAGAGCACCAACAGTTTAAACCTCGCTCTGAGTTGTTATCTGTCAGTTAATCTACCAGATCAAGTGGACCCAAAGCATCATCAAGCACCATTTCACCTTCAAAGTTTCAACTTGTGATTGAGCTTTGAACAGAAATGCTCTGTTTGACTACATGTACTTGACAGTAGCCTTTTATACGGATCCTTGCTGTTCAAACCAATAACTTGTTACCTCTTTGATCTGACAATTTGACAATCTCATGGTCAAGGTGCTGAATTTTGTCAGAAGACACTAAAGTACCTGTGTTGTAGTTACATCTGGAGGTGCTGTAGTGAATTATGAGTCAGCAAAAAGAGGCAAACACAGCTGAAATTAACGTGTCGAAGGCACTACATACCACAACTTCCTTAATTCTTGCTCCAATTCAAACACCTGTACCGTTAGACGGTACAGCTCAATTCTTACTGTTGATGGTACATGGCATCCCCTATTCAGAGAGGTCAAAATTGGTGCCACGAATTCAATAGCGAAACCCTTCGTTCTACACTTCTCGTTTCTGCAATTTGATCGTTCACAACCTTCCAATACAGCAACTGTAATCAGGAAACACTCAGGCTCCAAGTATCGTTGCCCAATGTCGGGATTGCTAAAGTCTCTGATAAATCAGGGACGGCAGATTCCTGGTTTCGCATTTCGGATTGACTTGTTCTTGAAGGTACACTAGTCGATCCAATAATCGAGTACAGTGGAGTAGATGAGTTGAAGTTTGGAGTTGGCTTGGTGCTCCTTGATCAACTGTAAGTCTCTTTCACGTTTCTGATTCGAGGATTCGTAACATGACTTTCAAGTCGTAAAGCTCTCGTAATGGTGCCGCATGTCATCATGGTCGGCAACAAGGCAATCCGTTGTTTTAGCACTGTGAGGTGGTGGTGCGATGGATGGTACAGATCGTGTTTTCAAAGGTTTGCGATCTTTGATCAAGCGGGCGTAGTAGAAATGGTTCCTATCACAAATGGTTGACTTTCGACTGCAGACATGGGAGAGAAGGATGCAGGATATCGAGTTTCATAGTCAACCAAAAAGGCCGTTGAGCTTGGAACCTATCACCATTACGTGATGCAGATACTTTAACCAGAAAGGTACTAACAAGAAAAGAAACATCTGATTGCCCGCCCAATTGGAGAATGGTGCTTGTCTCCTTGAACAGGTCTTTCGAGTCTCGGTCTTGTTTCAAGAATAAGATTGTCTGAAATCAACATTGAAGCATTGACACCAGGATGATTGTTTCCGGCATCCAGATGTATTCCAACCCACGTACAAAATGGAGTAGATCCAGTTTATCGAACTGTTGCGTTGGCGCCTAGATCAGAACCAAGTCAGTTTGTGATGCGTCGGGATTTCGAGTGGTTGGCTAGTTGAATCACAGCAAGTGCAAGATAATACTGCCATGAACACATACCCTTATTTCAAGCGATTCCGGTAGTGTACTTTCCTCTCTCGATTAGCACCTTGTAAGCTAAAATGTTGACGGACAAGTGGTTTGTCGAAATATCACGAGTAGGCCAGTATGATTTTACGCGATCCGAGGTGATAATTGCTTTGTAAAAATTACGATAAATGGCGTTACTTATTGTCTGACACGTCCGTGCTCCCTCCTTGGATGGACTGTGCTCCTCCAATTCTTTCGTGTCAAATCCAAACATAATCAACCCTTGCAAGCTTGGCGACTATAGAATGGTGCAACGAGAGATAAACCTAATACCCTCATCCTCATAATAGCACGTATATTGACATAATGAAATCATCCATACGGCATCACCAACACGTCATATTCGCAAACATCAACCTCACCACATCAAACACAACAAGACGACATGCCAGACACGCTACCACAGTATCTCCCGATCCAAAGTATCCACCACCGCCCATACCATCACTCCCTGAACAACCAAACATCAATATTCCTGAGTATCAAATACGCAGTCAGGCTGTCCAGCATCAGACAGTCACTACCCAACCGGCTCCCACCATACAACTGTCAAATGAACAGCGCACCCTTGTCGATATCATGCACCAGGGGAAGAATGTATATTTTACTGGTACGTGGTGATTATAGATTGTCCTGTACTTGTGCTATTTGTTGAGATGTTTGGACCTCTCTCATTAGGACGTGCTGGCACTGGTAAATCACATGTATTAAAAGCATTCATTCAAGAGGCTAGAGATAGGAATCGTAAAGTCGCAGTCACGGTAACAAACTCGTTGGAAATCTCGGTAGATTTATGAGCTGAATTAACACGTGATGTTTAAACAGGCTCCTAGTGGTATAGCTGCTGTACATGTAAGCTACAAAGCATCCTTAGTCAAATACATGGCTGTAAAGGTTCTCCATCTGGAAGTCTTTTGTGGCTTACTCTTATCACCCTCCCACACCAGATTGGAGGCCAAACCCTACACTCGTACTTTTCCCTCTGGCCAAACTGGATTCGCGAACCGGAAAAACTACGCCTCTTCATCCAGCAATCAAACTGGCGAATGGCCAAATACGACTCGGATGTAATCATCCTAGACGAAGCTTCCATGATCTGTCCACACGTATTCAACGCTCTGCACTACCTCATGCTGCATCTACGATCTCCATCTAAACGAGATCCATCACGGCCATTCGCAGGTGCTCAAATCATATTGTGTGGTGATTTCTACCAGTTGCCCCCTATAGATAATACTGTTAGAGGTGGAGTTTGGGTGTCGGCTATAGAGAGGATGATGAGATTGGCTAATGAGGATACGCCATACTTGTTTGATTCTAATGCGTGGCAGCATTTGATGCTGAATCAGATGCATGTGTCGGAGCTAAACGAGGTGTATCGACAGACGGATCCGTATTTTGTATCGCTGTTGGATGAAATGAGGGTGGGGAGTCTGTCGCAAAAGTCTTGGGATTTGTTGGATGCGTGTAGGAAGGCGCTTCCCAATGATGGTGTCTTGGTGAGTATGCAAACGTGTCTCTGCATTGGTTTTTTTTGCAGAGCGCTCAAACAGCAACTTCTAACTCACACACAATCACACATAGCCAACTCGACTATTCGCATTCCGTAAACCAGCCCTAAAGGAAAACTTTCGAAACCTCTCTGCTCTCCCAGGTCCCGAAATATGTTTTGACTGTATAGACCACCTGCCAATCCGCCGTGAAGCAGCCCCACTACCAATAGACACTGCCAAATCCCTCTCATCATCTCGCCACTGGGAAAACTTCCAGGCAGACCGCATCCTCCCTCTCCGCAAAGGCGCCCAAGTAATCCTCTTAAAAAACATGTCTGTCGCCGATGGTCTCGTCAACGGCGCCCGTGGCGTCATAACCGACTTCCAGAAACACCTAGACCCGAAATACCACCCAACAAACCCAATACATATCCCCGTAGTCCGCTTCACGAATGGCAAGACATTCGCTGTCCCATATGATGATTTCGAAATGGAGATTGATGATGGCGTTGTATTGACACGGACGCAAATACCATTGAAATTGGGATGGGCGTTGACGATACACAAGAGTCAGGGTATGACGCTTGATAGAGCGGAATTGTCGATGCCGGTGGCATTTGCGTGTGGACAGGCTTATGTTGCGCTGTCGAGGGTCAAGAGTCTTAATGGGTTGTTTTTGAGGGAGTTTAGTCAGAGAGCGGTTGTGGCTAGTGTCAAGGTGAAGAGGTTTTATGAGGGGTTGAGGATATTGCAGTAAGGTGGAATAGAAATAGATAGGTGGTATTTGCACGACGTTTGGCATCTGAGACTACACAATTTGTATGATTGTTGGTGGTGAAAAGTCTTTGTATTGTTTAAATGGGGTGTTGTCTATAATAATATAATTTAAAATGTATAAGCTTGAAATGTACTTTTCACTGCTCTCTGACACTACAACACTCGTAGTTGAATATAGACGTACCAGGTACGGCAAAATTAGGATCGGAGAGTTTGGACATATACCAGCAGCATTTTGTCCTCATGTTCACGAGTAGGTTCAGTGCAGCCAAAAGAAGTAGAAGACCGCACTACTCAGGATATCTAGCACCCAGACAGACGGTTTAAGCTCCTAACAATAAGCAAATGTCTCAGCAGTCTGTTCCACGTAATAAGAAATTCAAAAGCCATCGCTTGATATTTTAGGCACCTTTCCAAATTGATTTCTTTTCAACGATACACCCGATGGTACCTTGTCCAACAACTTATGAGCAGTAATTTCCAGAATCGTATAACTTGGCAGAAAGTCATATTCTTGTATACCGTTCAATCGAACGTTTGTGATTGCGTCCACTAATTGAGATTCGACGGGACTGATTGGCATTTCCTGTATCACGGTATGGTTCCTTCTGCATTGCATACTTGCCATTCATTGAATTCAAGAGCATAAAACAGACTAATCCTGACTTGTTGTGTAGCTTGTTGGCGAAAAACCGGAAGATTTCAATACTTATTGGTTCGACCCGAAATTTACTCTTTCTTCAATTACAGCATGCGTACCATTTGCACAACGTTCACCTTAGTGAAATTTTCTTCCACGATAACACTCAGCCATCGCACCAGTTCCATTCTTGGTGCAATGATTTGATGTTTGATGATTCACGGAGTGATGCAGACAGCAAATTGTCGCGGCACGGCAGTTTATTATTATCCACGACGTAAACAGTGAGTAAAAAACGTCAAATCAAATAGTCCCCTTGGGCCGTGGCAGCTTGTTGCATCAGGCAAAAAGAAAGAAAGACAAACATGGCGAATGCTTCAACAAGCAACCGGCATCTGCAACTCCACACACAGCCTTGCAAATCAAAGTTTAATCGACTCATTCAAACGAGCCATCTCTTGTATTCTCGAAAAGGAATGTGGTATCTCTAAACGTATAAGTTAACTCTAATAAACTCGTAACAGTGTTCTTGCTTTTCAATCCTCAAATGCCCTCATAACTCCTCATTACGCCCATAGCTCATGGGACGCAACCTCCGGCAACCTCTCTCCAGTTTTCGAAGGCGGTAACGCACTTGCATCTATAGCTGTTGATGGTGACATTGCTGTTTCTTGTAGATTCATTGCGTCTGAGAATGCGGAAGCTGGAGATGATGGTTTGGATGCGTATGCAGTTGCTACGGATACGGCGGTGACTCCCTGTAGTGGAAGATTGAAGTTCTGGGTGTTTTAGTATTGAGCAGCGAAAACAAGGGATAAGAAGTATAAGGAAGGTCTGAAACCGACGATTCGAGTACTAACTTTAATGGCGTATAATATAGCTCGTAGTTCCTTGAGTACGAGGGGTGATGATCCATCGCTTGGCAACTATGGGAAAAGCAATGAGTACACGAATTTGCCCGCAAAAAAAGGTTCGAATTGCAAACAATACGAACCATGACGATTCGATTCTTAATAACACTCTCCACATGCTTCAACTTCCCAACAGCATTATCACGTTCCCAATGTGATTCCTGTAACGCTACTTCCAGTTCAGCGACACGGTGTGTCAGGGACGCAATGTGGAGACTTGGACCCGCTTTTGTGGGGGATACTGGTGCTGATGGTGCTCTATGAAAAAGTGAAATTTCGTTATACGATGAAGTGGCTTTCCCTTTTTTGGCATGACTTCACGAAAAAAGCAACCGAAAATCCCCCCAATTAATAACACAGTAAATACCTGGCAGAAACAGCCGACCCAGGCATAACCAATCTCAGCACAGCCGACAACGCAGACTCCGCTACCGATGCAGCAGACGATATATACTGATCTGCGTTAGCACTAACAGGTTCTTCCTGTTGCTGTAGCGCTCGTGTCGGCATCAATGGCGATTTCGGTTGAGTGTCAATAGCCAGTGATACTCGTTGAGTTGTCGCTGCAGGAGCCGGCGCTGCGATTATAGACGGTTTGGCTTCTTCTGGGTTGGAATCAGGCAGGATACATTGCAAGTTGGCGGACGCAGCTGCGACGATTACTTCTGGTGCTATTGCTTCAACGAGGGTTTCTGGTGCTGGGGAGTCTGCTGGTGCTGTGACTACTTCCGATGCTGGTTGGGGAGGGTTGATTTCAGGGGTTTCGATGGGGATGGGTTGAGTGGTTTTGATTTCTTCGGTTGATTCTATATGAGTGATCTGAACTTCTTCAGCAGGCTCAACTACTTTGGCAGGAGCTAATTCAGTCACAACTACAGGAGCAGCCTCGACGACTTTAGGCACTACGACATGTGCCAAGACTTCTGCTACAGGTTCAACTACTTTGGCAGGAGCTAATTCAGTCACGGTAACAGTAGCAGCCTCAGCAACCTTAGGCACCACAACAGGTGCCGCAAGCACACTAGCAATAGCCAAACTCTCCACATCCACCTCATCAGCAGCAGCCATCCACGCAGGTCTACTAGCAGTCTCAACCACAACCTGCTTTACAACACCACTCGTACTAGCAGGCGTGCTCAACGTCGTAAACGATTTAGGGACGGGAATACCAGATCCGGCACGTGGGACGTTGCTTGAGCTACGTGATCTGGTAGCTGGTGCTGGAGTTGTTTGGTTTGCGGGTGCGTTCAACGCGGTTACAAATTGTGGTTCTTCATCTTGTTTGGGTGGTTCGGAGGCAGCTTTGGCTCGGATGGCGTTCTCGCGGGATATGGAAGCACGGGTCGGTTTTGGGAGGAGGATGGGTTCTATGGAAAATTTGAGGAGGTTTGGTGAGTTTGCAAAAAGAGACGACAATCAAATCCAGCCTTTGAGTTGGCGTCAGTAGTTTACTATCACACACCATCAGGATGAGTCGATGTCTTGCTCACACTTCTTCGTAATTTCCCAGCATCTGCCAAACTAGCAGTACTGTCTCTGTTGGTAGCAAGTGTAGTGCGACTGTCTGTTGCGTTGGGAGCAAGAGTCGTTTTGCTGTCTCCAACAGTCTTGCCACCAGTAAGAGTCGTTTTACTGTCTCCAACAGTCTTGCCACCAGTAAGAGCTGTACGGCTTGCTCGTCGTTCATGGGCTCCTCCTGGAAGTAAACACGGACGAGTTAGCGGGAGGAGAAAGAAGGGGAAATTAAATTACTATCAGGCTGCCAGCTCCAGCATTGTTTCCTAGCATCATTGCCACTTCTTCAACTACATACATACCTGGCATTGGACTCTTAGCACGACCGATCTTTGGAGAATTGGGAGCAGACGTTTTGGGACTGCTAGTAGCTGATACGAAAGATTGACTTGGTTGACGATCAGGAGTCGGTTCCCTGTAGCGAAAAAAAATCGAGATCTTTCAGTAGAATATTTCCATTCAAAGGATCGAAACAACCCAATACAGATATTGTACATACTTGAGATGTTTAAGATACTGCAAGAAATCAAACGTCTCGGCAATCTTTCCATGTAATAGTGCATTCACTGGAATAGTCTGGCATATAACGAAGCTTTTTTTTTAGCACACTCTCACATTGTCCTGTTTTTCAACACCACAGTCATACCTTGTCTAGCTTGTGAGCAGCGAATGCCTTTTCCAAAATAGTATAGTTTGACAGACTCTCGTATTCCTGCACAGCGTGTATCCTGACTTTAGTGATTGGGACATCCTCTATTGTCAGATTCGACGTATTAGCGTTCCGTGTTTTGGTATCGTCACTTGATATGTTTACTTGCCATAAATTGAATGCAAGAGGATACAAAAGGCACCACCTAGTTGATATTGTGTGTGAATTTTGTTGGCAAAAAAATCGAACAATAGGACTTGTCATCGTCAAGCTGAAATTGACCATTCTTCATTGATATGCATACCATTTGCACACTGTTCAATTTTAGTATAGTTCTCTCCCACAATGGCATTCAGCCATTGCAACATTTCTGTTCTTGCTCCCATGTTTGATGTAATGATTTACGGGTTGATGCAGGAGGAAAAGTTACCAAGTTAAAGTAGTTCTGCGTAGGTCTATGATGTAAAGAGTGTAAGTAAAGCGTCGAACGATTCGTTCCGTGCGTTTGTTGTCAGCTTGTTCCGAAAAGCAACCACACAAAATGTTTGCTGAATTGTGTCTACAAGCTTGGAACGTACTTTCAGCGACGGTCGATATATAACTTGAGTTGTAATTAATATCCACCTAAGGAGGCTACGATCTATGCAAACACGAGCTGCCTAACTCCCATTCTTCAACACCCCTTCAATCATGTGTTGAAAATCGCAGGGTCATTGATATGCGTTCAGTGCATGTTTAAAGGCGCGATTTCTAGAATCATTACTGACGATGACATATCGTCGCCATCATCCATATCATTGTCATCACCTTCTGCAGTTAAGACACGACACGACATTTCCCACTTCATCAACCAATAATCCAGATTCCGCTTCGAGCTTCTCTCTTGATATGCAATGAGTGCTCTCACATTCCTACTACTACTCCTACTATACTCGAATATATACGCCAAAGTCATAAACACGTCCTCGTAATCACTCGAATTATACAACACATCCGATCCCAGTACCAGTGTCGGATGATTCGGAGCCGCGAATTCATTCTCTAGTATATACTGCAGCTGTATCAAGTCTCCCCATGCCAGCGTATGAGCGATCACACTAATACCGTCCTCGCTGCAATTATTGTCGGTCAATGTCCTGCGACATGGCTCCATCACGCTTTCGAGATCAGTCACTACTGTTTTGCTGGCGATTCCAAGCTTGTATGCTATCATGGACGGTAGTGGGCCAACACCACAGCCGAGTTCTATGATGTGTTCATGGTTATATTTGGTGCGGTGTTGGATGATGTGTTTGGCCAGAGATGGAGAGCATGGCCAGGAGTAGAGACCATAGTCGGATGCGGATGCTTGGGGGACGCGGATTACGATGTTGGACTGCTGGTTGGGGATCTGGAATGTGAATGTTTTGCTTGACATTTCGTGTGTAGTTTTGTTTCGGCAAGTTTGACACGTTTGACTGCTCGAGCAACCATTCAAGACATGATGTCAGTTGATTCTGTGTGCAAATATTCTTTGTGGGTAGCGGTTCGAAACAACCCTCCAACCAAATCAAGATACAGTTTTATATTGTCGCGACTTCCTGGTCGCATATCATGTACACATTCCTCTATACAGTTGTATACGCACTGTCAACTTTTATCTTTCCAATGGATCAATACCCAATTTCCTGAAATGATGAGCTCCAACACCAACCAGTACAAACACGCCAACAATGGTCCCAATTGCAATAATCGACACAACTGTTATAGCTGCTATGGTTCCTTCTCGAGTCGTAACGGTTTTGCCTAGTTTGGCTGTTTCGGATACTATACCATCTAGTGTGGTGGGATGGGTGTGTTGTTAGCAATGCTGACTGTAAGTTGTTTTGTTGGTCATACCTGAAGGGAATGCATGGATTTCTTGTACCGATACGTAGCAGTTTGTGTTGACCTAAAGAGACAAATTTTTTGTTGGCTTGTCCAGCAAAAGAAGCTTTACCTGAGAAAGATCAATACCTTTTGCAAATTGGTAAACGTCAAACGAGCACCAATCGCAGTGACGTTATCCTTGACATTAAAGTAGTACCATCCATCTGTCGAGTTCTATAACACTCCAATTTTTAAATCAGTACTGACATCTTGTGACATTGATTAGCCCATTCCGTTACCAAATCCATTGACAAGTGAGAATCTTCCAAGACAACAGTTCCATTTTCAAGTACAGTCATAAACGATAACGATGCATCGGCCTTTTGGTCTCCAAACAGTATTCTTACAAGCCCAACTAGTTGCGGGCCATGCTATGATACATGTGAGGAAAACTGTTTTAGCTGTCAAAAACGTTTTGATGATGATCTGAAGCGTGGGCATTACCTTTCTGCGCCAATCAATATCAAACGTAACGTTATTCTCACATGTAGATGATACGTTTGATATCCAGCTTTTGATACAAAAGAGTCAAGGTGTTTCATGTCAATATTTCCAATGTCAATGGTATAAACCTTCCACACTTACCTTGTCGTATCAGGCACATCCATATCATCATCATCAACTGCATTCTCAGGCCCACATACTCCTGGATTCGCACATCCTCCTTGTGTTGATGTGGAAGATGCTGAAACGTCTGCTTCGTATGCAATGTTTTTCGAAACGTCGATTGCTGCGTGGGCAGAGGCGGTTAGGAGGGCGAGTATGCCTAGCAGTCTCGTCATTTGGGGTAGCGAGTGCATGGTGGGTGGTTGTTATGGTGCGATCGGTAGAGGGGATGGGTGTGAAAAGTTACAGATAAGGTGTGAAAATGTGACTTTGACAGGTGTCACATTTTTGGACCGAACATTTCTAAAACATTTTGGAACGCGGGCTATGATTTTGATTACAATTGTCTGTAAGAATCACGAAAATGTACGGTCTGAATCGTCTCTAATTCTCCTGACAACTTTTGTGATAAAACAAGGACGATGATATTTGAGAATGAAAACAATGTTTCACAATGCTCGTTTCAGATGCCATAAACATCCATGCATCTACCATTCCAAGAAGAGTGCAAATTGAGTGGTAGGAGATGATAACGAAAGAGGACTGTTGAGACCTAGTTTGACTGTTCTTGAAATTTAGTGAATTTGTGGTAATTCACAAACTGCAGGAATTGGGCAGACAATGGAAAGGATATTGAGCATGAGGAAACGGGGTACTCTACGAATTTGAAATCAGAAACTCGCAAAAGGAGATAGGCACATTGCAGATTTACTCGGGCCTTTTCCATTGCGGGTGAAGTGTTGCTTGCTGCTTTGATCGTTAACGTGAAACCCCATGTTTCTTTACAAGATGATTCAGAAAGAGAAATCAATCATATGGTGTGATGTTGACTGGGGCCGTGTTAAACACACGTGTGAATTCTCGCTGCTTTTTACTGCTGTTTCGGGGGCACCAGTTGACCCATCTTCAGGTGAACTAGGAGGAAGGCCATCTAATTTCGAGTTTGAGAAATTGGATGAGTACAAATACTTTTAAACTGTTTTGATACTTTCGACCTGCTATTGAATACCTGAAGGGAATGCATGAATGTTCTCTACCCACACAAAGCAGTACCCTTGATTCTGTCATGTTTAAAACAATACAGATTAGTTTTTGACTTCAAGTTATTTCCCCACCAGAGAAAGCACAACCATACCATTTGCAGGTTGGTAAATGTAAGACGAACACCAATTGCAGTTGTGTCTTCCATCGTGTCGAAGACGTACCAGGTGTTATCCGCCCAGTCCTATCATGGTGATTGAAATGCGATATATGAGTAAAAAAGTCGCTGTACTGGAGAGCATCGAGATGCTAGAGGCATTTACCTCAATCAGTGGTCTCATTGGCAAGTGAGATTCTTGAAAGACGATACTTCCATTGTCAAGACGAATCATCCAAGATAATGACGTGCTGACGTGCAGGTACAAGGGGAATTGTATCATCACTGAGCCGACTAGCTGATCACCATGCTGTTGATTCGAAAGTTTAAAAGAATAGAAACTTCAGCGATTCAGTCAAACTGTCCATTCGGGCGTCAAATTCTCAAGACAGCGATGTCAACACCTTGCTCCTCCAGTCCACATCAAAAGTAACTTCCTCCTCACAAGCAGACAGTGCATTTGACATCCAGCTTTATCCAGCGAAAATGAGGTTTGATATGTTGGGCATTTTGGCGTTTTTTGATGTCAATCAACAAGACACTTACGTCGTTGGGGGTAGATCTGAGTTAAAATACTCAGTATCTACTACATTTTCCGCAGCATCTTCTTTATCAATTACACCTCCGGGTGCGTAATTGGACGAAGCTGAAACATTTGCCTGAAATGCAATGTTTTTACTCCAATCGACTGCAGCGTTGGCGGAGGCGATTAACAGGAGGATTAATACTACAGATCGCGGCATCAGTCTGGTATTAATATGAACGACCGCCTGTTTATAGGCGATCGATAGAAGTAAAACGAAAGCTGACAGGAAGAGGAGTGTCAATTTTGACAAGCGTTACATATCGGACCAAGGATACTGGATTGTACCTGAACGAGGAGAGCAAATTGAGTGAAACCGCTTTTAAGATATAATAAGGAGATAAAGCAGTTGAAACCTTCTGAGACTTTTGCTTCTAGACACTTTGTGAATTTGGGAAGTTATACATTTTGAACATGAAAAGCCACGTTGCTTTACAAAGGTGAGGAAATCTAGATCAAACGCATTTCGTGATATCTGCTCGGACCGTGTCAAGTACAGGTGTGGGGTCTCACTGCTTTCACTCCGTCCGGCCTCAGGCGGTACGCACGTGAAGGAAAGCCGTCTAAGTTCGGGGTTGAGAAAGATGATGAGTACCATTACTTCAAATACTTGTTTTGTAACAGTCCATTTCAAATGCAAGAATAGTATTCAATCGATTCCAGTTCGAATGAGAGCTAGGAAGCCTAATGCGAGTGTTGCCAAAGTGACCATTGCTGGGATATTGACAAGGGACTGCAGCAAGAATGAGGTTTAAAGAAATCAGACAGATTAACCAATGTGACCTTGATAGCTGCCACAAGTGAGCGGTTTATAGATGAGGTTTTTATTCAACAAAGTACCCCTCAATTTCTCCAAAATGCACACAGTTGAAACCACACAGTTTCAGAAAACTAATTCACCACGACCTTCACCTCGTTTACAAAGGAACTGCCCTCAACGAAGGATCACGGAACGGATTCACTGCTGGAGCTTCAGCAGTTTGATGCTCACCAGAAATAATCTTCAACGAAACATCATTGCGACGATTCTTCGCGTTGAACTGCTTCGTGACAAAGTGTGCTCCAGCAGCAAGAAGCCCGGCTCCCAAAATGACGCCTATTGCTATGCCGAATTTGGCTCCAGTGTTTAGTCCTGATGATGGTGCAGATGAGAAGTTTCCGTCTATATGTAGGAGAAGAATTACCGATTTGTTGTAAGAAGAGCTCCAGCACAACCAACGACACAACTGCAAAAGAAGTACAGCTAGTAAACCAGAATGAAAACTTCATTTCTTTCTTCTTCAACAGTTTTAGGTTGATAAAGATATACACAATACTCACCAGAAGAATATGCAGCGACCTCTTGCATGGCGACATAGCAAGTTCCTTGATTCAAAGTCAACTGAGAGAATACAAGCCTGAGTCCAATAGCCGAAGGAGCCATCCCAGCTCCTTCCAGGTCAAAGTAGTTGTATTTATCCGTTTGGTTCTAATAATTCCAAACGTTGGGTTTCGTTACTGAGCAAATGCTGACCGAATGGGAATTGGTTTTGCATCTTACGTTCTGGTACCCAATGTTGACAGCAACATAATCCACAGTAGCTGGTGGAGGAGCCTTGAATGAGAGTAACACGGCTCCACTTTGTCGGTCGCCCCATAGGAACTTGACCAAGCCGACTTTTTGAACTCCATTCTATCATACGAGACAGGCGAAAAAGGTTGGGTTTTCCCAGAACATTCAAAGTCATTTGAATCTGGAATACTCACTGTAGCACTCCAGTCAACATCAAATACAACCTGACTATCACATTGTGGATTCGCTACAGAAATCCAGCTAGGAAGTAAAATTAAACCTCAATATTTGCTGGAGGGGCAAAGTGCAAAACTTGCAACAACAAATCTGTTGGGGTTGGAGCTGAAAGTTCACCACCACCCCTATACATACCCAGTAGGATCCACATCCCCCGGCATATTATCACAAGCCTTTTGAGCAATACAAGTATTGTTTGCACACAGCCCAGCAGTGTTTTGAGATTGAGAAGTGCACATAGAATTGAGAGTCAAGTCTGTAGGACCCAGAGTAGCATATACGTATTGCGCACATAGCAGTGTATTCATGAGGTAGAATGTAGTGGGTGAGACCGTCCTCATTGTGTCAAATGTTGGTTTTAAGAGGGGGTGAAATGATGTGGTTGATGCGATGGGATTGTGTAGAAGATCAAGAAGAGAGTAACGTTGTTATAGAACCGATGATTCAAATGAGTTGAATTGCTAACGTGAGTATGATTCTATTAGTACTTGGTCCCCTCCTGCTGTGTCAGTGAATTGACTTCGCAGAGGCAACTTCTCAATCAATCGATTGTTTAAGTTAAGGCACAGCGAAGAGCAAAACTGAATGGGACTGTTAAAGTTTTAACAGAAACTTTACCTTGCCTTGCCTTGACTTCTCGGTGCTCGACTCGTTCACCGTGACTTTTTGGGAGCGTCGAGGGCCAACTCATCTCAGCACTCGCGAGACGAAACGAATCAGAAACGCGCATAGTAAGAACCGTGTCTTCAAGAGAGAGGATGTATTTTTCTTTACTTTAGAACGTTGACAACACACCCAGCTATCCACCAAACACATACACAACCACACAGACCCGCCAACCGTCCATTCAACTAAAGTATTTCATCTGCTTAAAACTCGAAGCCGGTACCGCAGGTAACGGCATCCTCGGATCAGCAATCCCAGCACCAGCATTGGGATTTACAACAACACCAGCTGCAGCGCTACTACTACCAGCAGGCGAAGGAGCGACGGCATTAGAAGTCACTAACGGATTGTTACGGAACTGGTGCAAGAATCCATGGAATGGATGATCATTCTTGTCGATTCCGTGTTTGCCGCCTTTGGGGTACTGTTCAATTGGGTTTTCGGAAACGATTGTGTTGATGGGCGTTGCAGACTGGAGTTTACGGGCTAGCATGCGACGGCGCACAAAGTATCCGATGATGCAGCCGCTGGTGAGGAAGAAGAGGAGGGCGCCGATAGGGTGGTGTTTGCGGGGAGGCATTGCTAATAAAAGTCGATGTTTTTTGTTTGAAAATCCGAGACACATATATAGCAAGCAAATAAAAACACAAGATGAAATGTCCTAGTATCTTACCAGTAGAGTAAGCAGCAATTGATGACATTGACACATAGCAATCCTGAGCACCAGGAATGAGCTGAGAGAAGGTCAGCCTAATAGCAGTAGCGTTTTGCGTCAATGCTGGTCCGAGGTTGAAGTAGTTGTACATGTCGGTGGTGTTTTGAGCATTCTGAATCCAAAGAAACGAGCACGTTATTATTAGCCAAAACAAGCACAGTCGATAGCGTCGTTGACCAAGTGATTTGGGCGAAAGCACTGAACGTCCACATACCTTCTCGGATGTCATATTCACAGCTATGTATTCAGCCCCAGTTGCAGCTTTGATTGCTAGAGAGACGGCGTTTGCTGGACGGTCGCCCCATAGAAACTTGACTAAAGTATGAGTGTTACGCGACTGAGTTAGTATAGTGAATGAATCGCACTTCCTGGACTATTTCGTCTCTTTTTTCACCTTGCCCGAGTCGTTTGACACCATGCTAAAAGACAAAAAAAAAAGTGTAAATAATTGTATTATTATACTCCACCTCAAGAACGTTTTTCATTGCGACAACGTACAAGAGCCGACCAATCCACATCAAACACCACAATCGGATCACATTGAGCGTTTGGAGTAGACCTCCAGCTATACCCAAAATGAGAGGGCATGTGAGAAAGCGGTTAAAAATACAAGAAGCAAAATAAAAACCAATCTGATCCGCTTGGATTCAACTTGTCGACTACCAACTCCTTCTCCATACCTCATCATTCCGTTATCCATGGAATTACAAGCCTTCTGCGGTCCACATGTGTTATTCGCACAAGCACCGACCATGCTCGTCGCCGGAGCGTAGCAAATCGCATTTTGAGCGAGGTTGACAGTACCCAGTGGATGCGGAGGCATCACATGAGGACCGGAAGCGTATGCCGATCCGATATATACGAGGGCGAGAGATAGAATCGTGGACCTCATGTTGGTGATGGATCTACAATTCCGTGTGAGAGATGTGAGATTGTTCGAGAAAGGAAGGAAGAGACGACGATGGATTTCAGGTTTCAAATCCATTGAAAAGAGTTTTAAGTAGAGTGTCTTGATACCACGACCGTTGATTTCAACTCTTGAGCGTCTCGATCAATGTTACGCAAACTCCTCAAGATCGACGAGGAGAGACTTTCAATAAATCGCAATGCTTTCGTACCTTTATTGTAGTATATGAGCTGCCCAGTGAATCGCTCCGTCTTCTCTTACTCGTATTTGTTGCTGCAAAAAGCGTTGGTAAAATGTTTTTAACTGTTTTATTTTAGTCTTGTTGAGGCTCCAACCGTCCGAGAGTTCACCCATTCACGAAGATGTTACCTTTCCCGAGATTATGTAACACTCGTGCAGTTCTTACGCGTCATATTTGCTCATAAACAGGATGTGACCGTGTCTCCGCCAGCAAGAGCCAAAACAAGATGGATACGGCCACCACTATTCCCTTGAAGTTCGTGCCTTCTTCTTTGGTTTCTTTATGTGTGCGATACATTGAGTGGGTGAGAATTCTCGTGCTGTTTCAAGTCGTGACAAGGAGTCGTCACTGTTGCCTGAGACGTCGTCATCGTCATCTTGGCTGGTTTGACTACTGGATTCCACACTGGTGCTTGATGCTATGTCAGCAGAATATGATAGTGGTGTCGAGCACATGGAGTGAGATAAAGACGAAAATCTGAGCTATTTACATTCAACATTCGAGTGAGATTCTTGATCGGTACTCGAGTCTCCATTTTCCAGCCAGCGATATTCATCAAGAGATCTCTTGTACTGTTGCGGGAGAAGCGGGAGTAGCGAAAGCCATGCTCAGAGTCGCCGCTTGAGACTAAGATACGATTGTGTGCGGTTAGATTGGAGTATGTTCAATCTATGGACAGAGACCGCAAGGGCAAACTGAGATAGTCACTTACAAGAAGACGAAGAATCACCATCCGACGACGAAGACGAGTCGCTACAATCTGACAGTCCAAAAATATCCGAATCCCAGTCTAACGAAGTTGACAATCCAAATCCCAACGAGTCCGAGTCACTGCTGCTACTGAATATGTCAAACGCCAAACCATGCATCAAGGCTTCATGTAGGTCTTTTAGGAGCTCTTGCTTGTTGGCACTTCCCATAGCTTGATTTTTCGCTGCTTCGATTCACAATGTTTTCTGAGTTGATGGAGGAACTTAGTACAGAGTATAGGCGATGCGGTGTCACAACGGAATACTCACTGTCTAATGAAGAGCCTCCTTGCTGAAACTCAAGTACCGTTCAAAGCAAAATGAATGGATTCAAATTCTAGACAGAGCAAAATCATAGCATCATAGCTCATGTACGAATTTACAACGTATACAGCGAATTTATACGCGATTTAACGCGCATTCAATGAATATTTTAATATTTTGATATTACTGCTCATAGCTGGCTTGGCTACTTAGTTCAGCTAGCAAGATTTCAAAAAAACAGTCATTTGATCTAAAGTCAAAAAAAAATCGTAAAAACTCCTCAACACAGACAACCGTCGTCGCCACACGTTGCAAAGCAAACGTTGCGAGAGATCTGGACTGTATACTTGATTAAAACAAGTTGATATCCTGTTTTGGGCTGCCATCTTTTATATTATCGGCCCGCACCAAGCAAAATTGTTTGGAAACAATTTTGCAAAACCGCCTTCAAGCTTTGATCAAACTTCTTCCTCAACCAATAACTATAAATCATGGAATTCCATATTGTAAATTTCAAGTACAATGCTATCAAGCTACCGGACGAGCTGCTCCTCATCATCATCGAACACATTAAACGACCCCAATGTCTGGCCAATATCGCTCGAGTCTGTAAAGGATTGAACAGGATGGCGTGCTACCAGCTATATGCTACCTCATTGGATTTGACAAAGGACAAACTGGCATTGTCTTATTGGGTCAGTTTGGGATGTATCAAACATCGTCCAGCTGGAATGTATCATCAGCAAAGGACTATAGAGTATATCCGTACCATGCTCTTGAAACTCGATGAGCTAGTGCTGGTTGACTTTCAATACGTCAAGTACTCGTTAAAGGAAGTGGACATGAACATTGACGTAAAGTATGGGCGGACGATACCTGTAAACCGTTGGGCACTACCGCCAACTCTATCGAAACTCGTCTTGTCGTTTTCGAGATGCCTTAGTGATAACCCTCAATTTTGGTTGAGCCAGGAGTGGGAACTTGTGGCTGATCAAGTGCCCAATCTCACGACACTGGAACTCGAATGTTGGGAGGACCTGTTGGAGAAAATGTCACCAATGCTTTCACGATTGAAGCTATCAAGCTTCACGATAAAGGCCGACAGCAGCTACTGGCTGGAACCGTTTAACTTTAGCCTCTCTACTATAGGCTCGAGTCGGGCTACATTGACCGAGTTGCGTTCCGAATGTAGTATAACGGATACTCCAGAAGAAATAAACTCGTTCGAGTCTATAAAGGGATTGAGATACGGGGCTTATATGACGCAACAGCAGCTAGACTCCTTCCGTCCAGGACTCACGTTACTGTCAACCGCCATACCGATACAAACCGATACACCCATAGATATGGCCAATATCATATCCGTCAACGCACCAACACTTGTTCAACTGTTATTAGTTGGTGACAAAATAATATCCCGACCTGTCTTGGGAGCATTGACTCAACTAACCATATTGACTATATCCTCTGACGATGCTCAGCGAGGCGACCTCAACTCTTTATTGAAATCAGCTGGCCACAAACTCAAGCAAATAGCAATCAAATATGAAGAGCATTACATGACTTTGCCGCCGTATGACCCGAGTCTCATCCCACAGTATGCGACAAATGTAACTATTCTCCGCCTGGACGGAGAGGTCAGTGGTATTGACAAGGTCCCCGTATTCCACCAATTCTATCACGATGCTGTGGCTCTAATGCCGAAACTCGCCCGCTTCGCATATGATGTCGAGGAGAATCTAGATGGGTTTTTGGTGTTGATGGCTCTAGCTACACGCCAGAGGTCTTTGAAAGCCGAA